TTTTTAAAAAAATAAAATAAACAAAATAAAATGCAGGTCTTATGCAAGTCTTGGTAGCCAAGAATCTATAGTAAACTGATATTCCTCTCCACAAAATCCAAATTTAAGAAAGGGTCAATAAACCTTTGCCCCACAGATGTTGCTACAGGTGAAAATTCTCAGATGTTTCTCCAACAGGCTGTCAGCTATATGAATTTTTTAAAACTCCACTGCCACTTTTATTTTGCTCGGTAGTTTTTAGTTTTTTAGACTACATTATTATTGCTCATTATTTTGCAGTTGAGGAAACTGTAAATAAAGCTCCTAGTAGTTAAGTAATCACCCAACTCACAGAGCTGTATATGCCAAAGCCACAGTGAAAACTCAGTTCTTTCTGTCGCCAAAACCCATGTCCTTTCCATTATTCTGTATTCTTTATTGCTTAAAATTACTTGTTCTATAAGGCAATTAGACAGGAATAAAATGAATAAAATAAAATAAATTTTAGAAGACATCTCCAGAACTATGCTATGACTTTTAGAGCAGCCTATGTGGAGCTTCTTTTTGTTAGCAGTTAGATAACCATACCAACTGATTCCTGAAGAGTCCCCTCATCCAATCCACCCACTGCCATCAGTCTACATAAGGACTCACACTTCCAACACCTGTGGCAGGGAGGCACATATCCACATTATCCAAAAGCAGTTTCAGACCACAAAGGTGTTTGAGAGAATGAGGTTCTTCAAAACAGAGTCCTGTTGTTTTTTTTTTTTTGAGACGGAGTCTCGCTCTGTCGCCCAGGCTGGAGTGCAGTGGCGCGATCTCGGCTCACTGCAAGCTCCACCTCCTGGGTTCACGCCATTCTCCTGCCTCAGCCTCCTGAGTAGCTGGGACTACAGGCGCCTGCCACCGCGCCTGGCTAATTTTTTTTTGTATTTTTAGTAGAGACAGGGTTTTACCGTGGTCTCGATCTCCTGACCTTGTGATCCGCCTGCCTCGGCCTCCCAAAGTGCTGGGATTACAGGCGTGAGCCACCGCGCCTGGCCAGAGTCCTGTCTTGTGTCACTCACAGTAGTATTTGGCCTAGGGGGAGCCATTTCTCCCAACCTCCACTCTTACCATTAAGATGCAAGTGTTGCATGTGGATCCCCAACCATGTAGTCAAAGGCCCATGAAGAGTCAATATAATTGTGATCTTCTATTAGTCCTGATCCCAGAAAGCAGCATGGGGCTCTAGGGCAAGAGATGCATTCAAGACAACCCTTTACATCCACTTTTCCTCCCTGCTTCACTGTCTGTCTGAAGTCATGCCAGTTGGGCCAAGTTTACTGACAGGCAGCATCAACATATGTTCAGAGGGCATAACTACGGCCCTTCTATTCCATCGCCTCCTTCCATATGACTGGAGCAGTAGGGAGCCAGTGTAGACACCACCATCTCCCCGCATTTACATGCAGTCACGCTCATTGTGACAGTTCCCTGCCCCTGCAGACCAAAGCATGGTAAGACCCAGGATTTGGTATCGGGCTAAGGAGGAGAAAACATGCCCTAAGGCTCTTTAACCTTGGTCACTGCTCCAGCCAAGTTTACAAGACAGGCCTGTGGGGACTTGGGATACGAGTCCTATGATATGTTATTTTTTCTTTGACATTTATCTCCTGTTTCTTTATGTATCTCTGCCATATTTTGTATAGTCAATGACAGGATTCCAGTATTCCTGGGTCTGAGCAAAATACTATCTTAATTCTATAAAAACCCCTTTTTAAAAAATTTAAAAAAATTTTAAAAAATTGATTTTACAAATAAAACTATGCTTATTCATATATAAAATGTTGACATGGGAAACTTGGGTTTTCAGTTTGTAAAGAAGAAAATTGGCATAAAATTTACTTAGAATGATGAGGAAGAAAGAGGAGAAGGTGGAGAGAAAAAAAAGTCTAAAAACAAAGTAAGGTCAAGGGGTAAATTAGGAGGTTGGGGAAGGAGATGGAAGAAGAGAAACTGAGAAGCAAAAGGAGGAGGAGGAAGAGAAAAAACAAGAAGGAACAAGAGGAGAAGTAGAAGGCGAAGAGGAGAAGAAAGAGGAGGAGGAAGAAGAAGAAAAAAAGGTAGGGGAGAAGAAGGAGGAGGGGAAGGAGGACAGGAGGAGGGGAAAAAAGGAGGAAGAGGAGGAGAAATTCGTGGCTACATTGTTTGGGGTAAAAATAGTAATTTCACTTTTTGAAAATAGAATAAAGATACAGGAGAATAGTCTGTCATCAATGTCAGACAAACAGAATGTCTGGACTTAATCACTCAAATAAAGGACATAGCAACCACACATGTGAAGTATAGCATAAATAAATAAAATCAAATGCAAAAGAGGGACAAAGAATCTGATATACAATAAAATATTACTTAAGAGGCCAGGGCAGTGACTCACACCTATAATCCCTGCACTTTGGGAGGCCGAGGCAGGCTGATCACTTGAGGTCAAGAATTCAAGACCAGCCTGGCCAACGAAACCCCATCTCTACAAAAATACAAAAAGTAGCTAAGCATGGTGGCACACGCATGTAACCCCAGCTACTCAGGAGGCTGAGGTGGGAGGTTAGCTTAATACTCAAGACCAAGATATAGTTTAGTTAAAGTGTTGTTCTAGTTAAGCTATTGTTTCTCAATTTCAAACGCACTGTCTCTATTTGGCTTTGTGATGTTACAGTGAGGACTCTGCGAGTTTCTTCTTGCCAGCTGGGGGAAGTTCTGCCAATAGGAGGCAATAGAGAGAGGCTACAAGGCTGGAGGATGAAGAGGGGGCTTACCTCCTATCTGCTTCCTATTGTCATATCACTGTCAGCATCACCCAGTGTTTCTTTTTCACCCCAGCAGGTTCTTCTAGTATCAGTTGGGTCTAGTTTGCAGTTTTTCCAAATTCATGGAACCAGTCTCGCTACCTTCTGCCCCAGAAACACCAGCACTAGACTGCCAAAGCCCACTTTCCCAGAGGTCTGAGGTCCTCCCCCAGGCTCTGTGTTTTGATACTTCCAAGTTCTTCCCTTTGTTTCCCCAGTCTTAATGCTAGCAGCTGCCTCCTGCATTGCTACCTCCACAACACCAAGTGTTCTCTGTCTTTTCAGTTACCTAGTTAACAGTTCTCTAGAATAAATTCTGTCTGGTAAAATGATTGTTGTGGCTTATGTTTCCTAACTAGACCCTGATTATCCATGCAGAAACATAAAAATATATTGGGGAATGGGCAGGGAGATAGAACTTTTTTTTTTTTTTTGAGACAATGTCTCATTCTGTCGCCCAAGCTAGAATGCAGTGGCATGATCTCAGCTCACTGCAACCTCTGTCTCCCAGGTTCAAGTGATTCTCCCACCTCAGCCTCCCAAGTAGCTGGGATTACAGGCATGCATCACCACACCCAGCTAATTTTTGTATTTTGTAGAGATGGGGTTTCACCATGTTGGCCAGGCTGGTCTTGAACCCCTGACCTCAAGTGATCCACCCGCCTCAGCCCCCTAAAGTGTTGGGATTACAGGTGTGAGCCACCGCGCCCGACTTGCACCATAATTTATGTTGGTCCCAGGCTTCTTCACAGAAACATAATGCTGGGAGACAATGGAGCACAATCTACAAGGTTCTAAGAGAAAAAAGATGAAATCCAAAAATACTTTAACAACCCAACATGTTCAGATATAAAGATAAAAGACAGACATTTTCAAATATAAAAGAACTTAAATAATAGAACATCTACATGTTCTTCTCGGGCCCAGCAGTCATTGGTGCTGGAGTGGCACCATGGTGGTCCTGAGCAGTGTGAAGCAGGGTCCATGGAGGAGAGCTGCTCAGCACAAGGTGCCTGATCCCAAGTTGGGGGAGGAGGGTGTCCATGAAGATGGGAAGCCTAGTGTGGGGAGTCAGGGCTGAGCAGGAAGAGGAAGGCATAGGGAATGAGGTAGTCTAACCTGGAGCATCAGAGCCAAAGCAGGGTGAGGAGGATTCTAGGTGGAGGATAGCCTGGTATGTGGAGTCAGAGCCTGAATGGGATGAAGAGGACATCCATGGCAGTGTTGGGGATTATGGCCTAGCAAGTGGAGTCAGAGCCCAACAGGGCAAAAAGAAAGGCCATGATGGAGCAGCCCAGCATAAGGTATCAGAGCCCAAACAGAAGAAGACAGGCATTACTGCTAGAGGGGACGTGGCAGCAGAGACTGGATATTGATTGATACTGATCAATCAATAACAATATCGATATTGATTACGTACAAAGGATTAAGTAAGTATGTTAAGACTAACGGAAGCCAGACTTCACACTGTTGGAAACAAGAGTTACAAATACAAAAAGAGAGACACCTAGAATAAACCTTGTGGTGTTAGATTGGAATTGAAGTTATTGGCATGACCTCATATAAATAGATATAGAAATGAACGTAGACATGTATGGATGTATGTAGCTCTGTCCACTAAGAGGGCTTGAGGTAGCAATGTCCCAATATCAATAGACACATCTACCACCAAGATCTTGGCTTCTAAATGCCATTTTCCACTCAAAGAAACCAGGGTCCCTTGGAGAAATGGCGGATTTCAGTACCAGCAGGGAAAGTAAAAGATGAATTTGAATCATCTTTCTGTGCCAAAACAATAACAGCAACAATAAGGAAGGTCCTAAACAACAATGGGGGCATGTCAAAAGACATATAAGCTAGCTTCTATTGGACAAAGCAGTGGCTGTTGGGTTTTGAAGGGAAGGCGAGAGTATCAAAATTTGATTTGATATTTGAGTATCCAAATAAGTGATGGTGGGAACAACCCACTGAATAAAATAGAAACCATGAGTCCAAAAGACATTAATTAATTAATTAATTAAAAGTTTGCTGCACAATGACATGCTTAGTTTCAAATTCCTCTCCACAAGGTACTTATTAATTACAAAGAGAAAAAAATAATAACTTTACAGATGGGAAACTTGGCAAACACCACCTTAATCAAGTGACCACAGTGAGCTTCATCAGTAATGAGAAACAGAAACAGCATACCACCTGAGGGGAGGCGAGGAGAAGAACCCAGCATCAGCCAGGCACGGTGGCTCATACCAGCAACCCTAGTACTTTGGGAGTCTGAGACAGGAGGATCGCTTGAGGCCAGGAGTCCGAGACCAGCCTGGGTAACATGGCAAAACCCCGTCTCTACCAAAAAAATACCAAAAACATAAAAAAATAGCTGGGTGTGGTGGTGCGCACCTATGGTCCTAGCTACTTGGGAGGTTGAGGTGGGAGGATGGTTTGAGCCCAGAAACCAGAGATTGCAGTGAGCCAAGATCACACCACTATACTCCAGCCTGAGTATAAAGATCATTCAAGAGAAGATTGAGAAAATGCTCCAGACTGAAGCAGAATAAAAAGACATAACAACTAAATGCAACTTGTGATTCTGAACTGGATCCTTTTGCTATAAAAGCCACTATCAGGGCAACTGACAAAACTTGAATAATGTGAGAATGAGATGGGAGTAGTGTATTGTTATTAATTTTCTGATATTGATCACTGTATCATGGTTATGTAGGGAAACATCTTTGTAGGAAATACATTCTAGAGTATTCAGGCGTGATGGGGCATCAGGTCAGTAACTTTCAAATCACTCAAGAACATTTTTGTTGTTGTTGTTGTTGTTTAATACACAGTAGTTCCAAATTTCTACAGGTTTGTAATCATTTCAAAATGAAAAATAATAACTTTTAAAATGCAATTGGTCTCTATTTGCTGGTTTATAAAATCTCCAAGACATTATATATGAAAAAGCAAAGTTAAATGGATATGGTAAAATTCTTTTAAAAGACTATATATTTCATGATATGCATTTTAATATATATACACAACTCATTTTCCTGGACAGATGCAGAAGAAAATTAATGTGATGATCTGGGAGAGGAACTGGGTGGTGGTAGGAAAGAGCTTTGGTTTTTCATTTTATATCTTCTTGCATAGTTCATTTTTTTAAAAACAGGTACATGTATTACTCTAATAAAAACAAATACGGGAGGCCAGGCATGGTGGCTCACACCTGTAATCCTAGCCTTTGGGAGACTGAGGCGTGGCAATCACTTCCGGTCAGGAGTTTGAGACTAGCCTGGCCAACATGGTGAAATCCCCTCTCTATCAAAAAATACAAAAAGCATCCAGGCGTGGTGGCAGGAGACTGTAATCCCACCTACTCGGGAGGCTGAGGCACGAGAATCACTTGAACTCAGGAGGCAGATGTTGCAGTGAGCCGAGATCATGCCACTGCACTTCAGCCTGGGCAACAGAATGAGACTCTGCCTCAAAACAAAAAACAACAACAAAAAAAGGAGTTTTCTGGAGAATGAGATTATGTGTCATTTCTGTTTTTCTAATTTTTTTACATTCAAAAAACTAATACATAATAATGTTAGACATTTGCATGCACACATATTGAAATTTTTATTTTTTTCTCTATAGTTAAGGCAAAAAGTGAATAAGGATCAGCTCTCATCAATTAAGTCAGGCTTTGAACAATTTTGGTAGCAGAAAGTCTTTACCTGGTATTTTATTTAATTTAGGCTTTTTAATTGAAAGAGCTGTATGAGGGATTGTTCTTGGTTACCAATTAACAAGGATTCTAGAACACATAGACAGACTTCAAAGCTGTTTTGTCAGGACCACGTAGCTGAGAAAAGCCTCATTTATTAATTTAGGTCTATGTTTCAGTGACTTTTTTCTCACCCAAACTTTACCCTGTGGAATACTTTTTAAAATCTACCTTTCTGTTTGGGTCAAAGTCCTTTGACAAGCATCAGACTTAGAGCCTTTGAACATTATCTGTTTAAATATAATTTAAATTTAATAAATTCCTGTGTATTTTCTTTCCTATTTCTTTACAAACTGCCTTCTCTGTATAGTCAAGGGACTTTTTCTGTTGTCGTTGTTGCTTTGGCTTCCGGAAAATGTCCTTGTAAAATCAAGAAAGTTTAGCGCAAGGCCTGCACTGACTCAAACATGGAACGGTGAACACAGATTTTGGGTTTCAGTGATCTGATATCAAAAGAAAAGTGCCTCCCTCCCTCGGGGGCACTTCAAGATGACAGTTTCAAAAGGCACTTCAGGTGAAAGGTGTAAATGAAATTTCAAAAGACCATCAGACAAAAAGAAATCATTTATAGAATTCTACAATCCTTTGGCAATATAGAACAAAAGTGAAGTGTTTGGGTGCTTGTGCCAGACAGACGTGAACTGGAATCTCAGTTTTACCAGTTACTTACAATATGTCCATGAGCAAGATACTTAATTTCTTCAAAACCCAGTTCATTTATCTATGAAATGGAAATAATAAAAGTATCTAACACCTGGAATTACCATGAATTAATCTAAAATAGGCCAGACGCGGTGGCTCATGCCTGTAATCCCAACACTGGGAGACCGAGGCTGGTGGATCACCTGAGGTCAGGTGTTGGGGGCCGCACCGGGGGTGGTGGAGAATGAAAGAACACACACAAAGACAAAGACACACAGAGAACATGGCGGCCGCGCTCAGAGCCTCCGCCTCACTTTATTTATACTCCATAAACCTCAGGTCAGCAGAAAGAATGCAATGCAAAACAAACTTTCTTTTCCCACATGTAACCTTCTACTCAGTACCTTGTTTCTATATTTTTTCTTATCTACCCGCCTTCTTGGCGCCTATGGGAGTTCATTAAAAGTTCAGTTGGAGATACTGTCCTTGAGCCCTATCTATTCTCAGCATACTGTTTTCAAAGGCCCCTGCATTTCCCCCCTTTTAATTTTGTTTTGCCTCAATCCTAAAAAGGTAGTCCATATTTGTTTCTGTGTTTTTTTTTGTTTTTGGTGGCGACGGAGGGAGCATCGAATCACCAAAAGAAGTAGACCCAAACCAAGTGTCCAAAGCAATATACTTCCAGAGATTGTAGAAATCCATGTTTTTATTTGAGTTCATGGGTTAAAGGCAGTAAGGCACTGCCCCAGCTTCTGCAAGGTTACAGTTCCAGACAGCACATGCAATTGTTGTTAAAATGTTTTGGAAATGTTTTGAGTGAGCTTTTGAATGTCCAAACTAATATTTTTATGGCCAATTAATAATTTTTAGATTACAGTCCAATTTTGAGAGATGTTAAAAGGCACAGGCATTACACAAAATTGAGTGGAATTCCAATCACATTGTAATGTTACCCGAGTATTGAGTACAGTGAGCTGATCTCCAAGCCATGTTAACGCTTGTTTCACGTTGTCCAATTTTTTAGTAAGTTGAGAATCAATGTTTTGTTGTTGAAGCCATAACCGGTGAGATTGTTTATGCCATTGCTGCACAAATTTAGCATTTTGTATGCTTTGATGAAGAGTGAGTCCTGTTACAGCCGCAGTGGAGGCAATGGCAACAAGACTCATCACCGAGGCAATTATAAGTCCAAGGGCACGGAGGGTTCGCTGAAGAGAAGTCCACATATAAGTTTTAAGAGGTGATGCCCCCCACGGTCGTGTAAGATTAACAGGTAGCCAAATTTCCTTACGAGCCCTGAGGATATAAATATCCCCAGTAAAGTTGTGCCACCAAGAATGATTGAGGCAAGACAAAAATGTACACGTATTTGTACAATTAACAATTTCCATATTATTATTCTATATCAAATTTCCCGTTAATAATAGGTAGAGCTTACGGACACAAGTAATAATATATCGAGAGGTATTTCGATATAACTGAATATGAAAGGAATTAGTTGGGTTAGAAAGATTAAGAGACATATTCCCCACAAAAGTGCTAATGGCATCGCCTGTAGCTAACAACTTCCAAAGATGACTCTGTACTTAGGCCTCCTTCATACCATACCAAGGTTTTATTATTGTTAGTAGCAATACTTTTATTTACCCAGTGCCATTTTAAAGGTATGTGACTAAATTTTATTTGAAAATCACCGTGTACACTTCAATCAGTTATTTGTATCCCATTGTATTTTAATAAAATCCGGGTTTTATTTTCCCGACATAGTTGTCACTTCAGCACCTTAATATTAGGAGAAACCTCTGGAATAGGACAAAAAGGTAAAGAACTAGGAATAGTTTTATTATTATATACAGTATGATTATAATAACAGTATTAGTAGCCACATAACTATGATTATAGTGAACAACCCAGGCTTTATACGATTTTTGGAGACAATGAGAACTATTTCCCATGTATATTGGAAGTTTTTTCACTCCAAATTGGTATGTGTTGTTTATAATTTCCGTTTCCTGTTTTATATTGTCCTTGTTTATATAGGGGGACGGCATTTAAGTAGTGTCATTGGTGAAAACCTTAATTTCCGCCTCTCCCCAGGCGACTCCCAGATACAAGGGTGGAAAGGGAATATAAGTGCAATATTCATACAAAGTTTCACTAAGGGAAATAAGTCCCCCGCTGAGGCACATCCAACAAAGGAAGAAATGCATGCTGAATCCAGTTTTTTTTTCAACAGGGTTTCAATTATCTTATAGGAAACCACTTAGGTCCGCTCCCTGTAAGGACAAGAGCATAGCCCCGTTCCTGTTTTAGAACTTGCCCTTGAACATACTTACCTTCTTTATTAGGATACCAAATCTTTAAATTGTCAGCGGGGACTATCACCGAGAGAGGTGAGGAAAGATGGGTTATGACAGCGGAGTCTTGCAATTGTCTCCATTGATTCAAAAAATAATTTAAGTAAAAAGAACCTTCAAAATCAAAAAAATTAAGGTAGAAAGGCTAACCTTCAAAAAAATGTGGTTTTTTGGGGGGGCTCATTTCCCCCTTTTTGTTTTAATAGTTGAGTTTTTAAAGTTAAATTTGTGTGTTTAATGATGGCTTGACCTTGACTGTTGTTTGGGATTTTGGTGATATGTCGAATATTGTATTGTTGTAAGAAAACTTGTAATTTATGAGAGACATAGGCAGGGGCACTATTAGTTTTAAGTATAAAAGGAATGTCCATAATGGCAAAACAAGTTAAGAGATGTGTAATAACAGAATCAGCTTTTTTAGATGGCAACGGAGTGGCCCATTGAAAATGAGAAAAAGTATTAATGGTATGATGAACATACTTTAATTGTTTAAAAGAAGGAATATGTATAACATCCATTTGTTAAATTTGATTAACTTGAGTACCTTTTAGGTTAACTTCAGGATGGAAGGATGGAATG